CGTACCAAGGAAGCAGCACTTCAGGATCCATTACTACATGCACTCGTGTTGAAACATCCATAGTAAAGGCACCCTCGACAATAAATTCGTATCAAGGGCGCCCTTACACAGGACGCCTTGTTGCGTCTGCACCAAGGGCTGCTTCCTACATGACCCTTACCGAGAGAACTATTACTACAAGCATCCTGGTTACACTTTCCGCAATACTTGAATCCTGAGTGGAGCTCAAGTTTTTATACTCGAACACATAACGCGCGTCATGTGGCCTCCAACCCACCCACCCACCCAGTAGATAACATAACGCCCGCCGCCCCACCCACCCCCGTTGCAGCAGCGCGTGTTGTTTAGCGCACAGGTATGCTGTTCGTAGTGCGCGCGCAACGTGTTTGCAGCGTGCGCAGGCATGTGCTTGTGGTATGTAGAGGCGCGTGGCGCGCGCAGGCTGATGTGGCACCCACGCAGGCGCGGCGGCACACCCAGCAGTGGAAACAACGAGCAGTTCGGCGTGCATAGCGCACACGCCGGCTGCGGCGGCAATTGTGGTGCACACAGGCGCGGTGGTCTCCAGCATTGTCGTACGCAAAGATAATTACTGTTGTCCGCGCAGGCATCGGGGGTATGGGGCCGTGCCCTGGAGGTGTACACGGGCTTTGTGGTGTACGCAGGCACAGCGATGTACATGCTGGATGTGTATACAGGCACAGGGGTGCATTCGTACCGACGTTAGTAGCGGGGAGGGTCGTCCAGAAGAAAATATAAACCCAGCCAGACAGTCCACGGGCTTTCTAACACGCCATTGCCGTGCAGGCGCGGCGGCGGATTACATTCCAGCTGTCGTGCAGACTCGGCGGCGACCTTCGGGGCGTGCCTACGTAGAGAACCAAACGACATAAACGAAACAGCTCGGAGGTCCGCGCGGGTTTCTTGGAACGGCGCCGGACCGCGTTCCCCCGGAAGCACCGCTAAGCGGCCCAGCGCCGACGCAAGAACCCCGCGCGGACCTCCGAGTTGTTGCGTTTACATGGCTCAAGCCGTTGTGGCTCGACGGGTCTTCGGGGGCCCCCTTCGTCTGTGGGGAGCTTCGCAATCTGTCCTGGTGTTGCTTTTCGCCCTCCCTCTCCTCCCGTCGCTCCCACCCTCCTCCCTCCTCCCCTTCCTCCCTCCCTCCCTACTACTACTACTACTACTACTACTCCTACTACGACTACTACTACTACTACTACTACTACTACTACTACTACTACTACTACTACTACTACTACTACTACTACTACTACTACTACTACTACTACTACTACTACTACTACTACTACTACTACTACTACTACTAACTACTACTACTACTACTACTACTACTACTACTACTACTACTACTACTACTACTACTACTACTACTACTACTACTACTACGACTACTAGTACTACTACTACTACTACTACTACTACTACTACTACTACTACTACTACTACTACTACTACTACTACTACTACTACTACTACTACTACTACTACTACTACTACTACTACTACTACTACTACTACTACTACTACTACTACTACTACTACTACTACTACTACTACTACTACTACGACTACTACTACTACTACTACTACTACTACTACTACTACTACTACTACTACTACTACTACTACTACTACTACTACTACTACTACTACTACTACTACTACTACTACTACTACTACTACTACTACTACTACTACTACTACTACTACTACTACTACTACTACTACTACTACTACTACTACTACTACTACTACTACTACTACTGCTATTACCACTGCTACTTGTACTGTAAGTGCGTGCGCATTGCCGCCGGGCCCCAGGCTCTGCGGTGCTCGCGCGCGCTGTGTTCACAGGCGTTGTGGCGTTCACACGGGTTGTGGCGTTTTCTGGTTATGTCGCGTGCACAGGCGATGCGGCATTCACGGGCGCTGTGGCGTTCGCAGGCGCTACGTTGACAGGCGCTTTGGTGTTCACAAGCGCTGTGGTGTTCACAGACGCTGCGCTCGTCAAAAGCAGTGTGCCGTTTACGGGCACGTCGCGTTGATCGGACCGCAAACTATTGTGGCGCTGGACATAGGCGCGTCGTGGCTGTCGGGTCGCAAGCGATTTTTTCGCTGGCGTATTACAGGTGGTGTGCACGTTGACAGCTGTATACACAGGCACTGTTGTGCACCCGTGCGTTGCGACGTACGCTGACGATGTTGTGCACGCGTAGGTTGCTGCATCAGCATGCGTGGTGTTCGTGGGCATTGCGGCGCTGTGTAGCACTCGCAACTGCTAGGCCCTTTCGTTGCATGAGTGCTATGACCAATAGCAACAAAGGGCAGTCCTTCCAGCACAATCAGCATTCGAGCGGCCAGGCGCGACTGCGTTGTGCGCGCGGAACGTGCTGCTGTGGGCGCAGCAAAGGGTGTGAAAAAAACTGTGTGGTATGGCGCGTTTACAGCCGAATACTCATTTTCTGTGGTTTACGTGATCACTGCCATGCGCCATGCACTGTGGTGTACACGCGCGATGTGGTGCGCGCATAGGCTGCTGCATCAGAATGTGTGCATACAGCCATTCGAGCGGCCGGGCGCGGCTGTGTTATGTTATGTGCCAACGACCCCACCCACCCACCCAGCCACATAACGCGCGTTATGTGGAATAATAAAAACTTGAGCTCGTGCGGGATCCTTGAGACAGGCATCCTTACCAGAGGCTCCCAGTTGGGGTGGACAAAACAGATATTGAAGTGCAATGCATTCTTTTCATTTTTGTTTGCCCCCCCTGACCACTCACCACCACGAGAACCAACACCACCTCTGGACAGGCGGAAGCGCCGCTGAAAGACATAATGCCGACCCTGAAACCACGCTGGGTTCGCTGTATGGACTCTGGCGTATCCGCGAAACCGAGATGTGGTATGCATGCGCATGTGAGCTGGCCACGTCTATCAACGTGCCAGAGCGCGTTGACGAATCGGAAACGGGCCCACGGGCCTAAACAAAAACCACGACTTTGCATGTTAGCAGGAGTGCGCGAATAGGCCAAGAACCACACCCACATACATACATCTATCGATCTATATATATATTTACATATATATATATATACATACACAAAGCGGCAGTGGCGTTTCGCGCCACGCACCTTGGTACTAGAAGAGCGGGGCATGCAGGCGGAAGGGCAGGAGCAGGAAGCATAAACAAGAATGATAGTACTATCAGTTCCTCATGTTTCATCGTCCTCTTCCTTATTCTCGCCCTACTCTGCGAATACTTCCTCTTCCTCTTGGGCTCTTTTGCTGAGGATCCTCCTTGGAGGACCTCCAGTGGCCTCACGAAAACTGTTGAGGGTTTCTTGGGACCTTCTGGAGATCTCCTCAGCGCCTTCTGGGGGCCTCTAGGACCTTCCTCGGGCCACCCTGGTTCCAACTGGGGTCCTCCTAAAACGTCCAGGTCACGATTTGGAATGCTTCGGAAGGCGTCTTGGGGCCATACTCGGCCGTCATGGGGCTCTTTTCGGGCCATCTTGGGGCCCTGTTGGGCCGCCTTGGGGCTCTCTTGGGCTGCCTGAAGCCCTTTCGGATAAAGTTGAACGATTTTCGGGCCTCCTGGGCGGTCTCGGACGCCCTGAAGGTCGAAGAACAGGGCACTCCCCAAATCATGAAAAATGGAAATCACTGATTTTCTACGTTTCGAAAATCTCATGACTGTTCTTTGGGGCGTCTTCGGGCGTCTGGTGGGTGTCTGGGGACTGTTGGGGCCCTCGCAGGACCATTCGGCCGCCCTGCTGACCGATTTGGGCCCGTCGCCTAGACCCAGCAAGTGGCTTCCAGTCCAGGAGCCCTGGAAAACCAGGGGAACCTTTGGCAGGGGCGTCCAGGGGGCCCCGATGGCCACAGATCCTGGGGATCCCGTTTTGGTGGGGCAGGGGGAGGAGGGGGAGGCCCCACCCCCCTGGATTGTAAAACCAGCCTGGCGAAGGACCCAACCATATGCAGCTGTGAGCATCGCGATTGTGAATCTCGTCCTCGGTGGCGCTCCCTATGGGGCCACGAACCGCATGAGGGACATGCCGAAATGTGTGGCGGGGTACACAGCACGACCGAAGACGATGGGGGGGAGGGGCACGGGGGGGGCCCCACCCCCCTGGATTGTAAAACAAATAGAGAAAGGGCACCCCTCACACGTATCGTTCCCCACAGGCAGCTCCAGCTACGGTCCAATCGATGGCGTTCGCATCATGTCCCCCGCCGATGCCGGCACACCCCTCACACACGGATCGCGCCCCAGGGGGATCGATCTACGGCTTCGCTGTTCGTGCTCGCATGCGTCCCCCCCGCCCCGTTCGGCACACCCCTCGCATGGATTTCGCCCCATGGGGAGCTCCACTCGATCATGCCAAAGGTGGACGTGCTACATGCACCCACCCCCGCCTGTGTCGGTGCACCCGTCACACGGAGCTGTCACATTTTCAGCGCGTGCATTCAGTGTCGGGTCAAAACGTGGTCGCCAAACCGCGCTGCAAGAATTATTGCATCGATTGGGTGGTCTCGCTGTTAGATTTATTGAACTATTGATCGGCCCATCAATTCCCAACACTCAGGTAGTATAATATGACCTTCGGTATAGTTGCGTTGTGCTGAGTACCTTCGTCTGTTCCTCCTGTTCCTCCTCCCCTTCCCGCTGCTGCAGCGCAGACGTGTGGGGGGCCCACTTGGGTTGTCGGGGGGCTCTCTCAGGGCTATCCTGGATGGCCTCAGAGGCGGTTGGGGATCCTCCAAGGGCTGCGTTCCATGTTCGGGCCATCGTTCGGCGGCCACGCGTGAACCCTACCCCTACTACTGGTCCGAATCGATGGGCGGTGGGGGCAGGATTTGACGTTCGCCTCCGAGTGTCGCGAGGAGGAATGGATGAGGGGGGGTGCGAGGGAGAAGGAGGTAACTAGCGGCTCTCTGCTGGCTGACCGCTGACCGCTGGATCACGCAGCATCATTCGGCCGAACTGCCCCGTGCGCCAACGACCGATTCAGCAATTGAGCCGTCGAGGAATGTCAGGCGAAGGCGGCACGGAGTGAAGTACACCGACACCTTGCCGTTCATCCCGGTGGCATGCCTTCCGCGAGGGGAAGATCAAATAACATGAGAAGAAAGGCGCCCGAAAGAAACGAGCTCTAAACACTAAGGATTTCCTGTCCGGGCTTATGATGTCCCGATGCAATGTTCTGACGTTCCAGGAAGTCTGGGGTATCTGGTGGCCCTCGTCCGTGGAGCCCGCGCGGGACAATAGGAATACCTGGAAACCTTGGATCGTAATTGCCAGTATTAGTACCTCTTGCCCATCTGAAAGCACACACACACACACACCGCGCCTCTGGAAGTACAGCCACCGTGCCACCACGAACGTACACTAAAGAATGAAAGGGGCTATTCTGGCCACGGCGGGCCTAGGGCACACGCAAGCTCCGCGACACACGGTTGGCGCTGCAGAGATAGCATGCAACATCGATCTACGAAGAACACGCTATCCCGGTGCGGCGATCCCCCCGCGATGGCTTTTCTATGCACGCCATCCCCCTGTCAGGCCTTCTTCGGTGCACCGTGTCACCAAAATGGGGTGTAAGCCTGTCTTAAGCGGGCCGGCAACGCCACATCGCGCGCTATCTTTGCAACGCCAGCCGTAAATCTAAGGAACGGCCCGAAAACCGATCCCCTGCTGAGCCTGAGCGGTCCTTGCTCCACCGTCTTGACTGCAAACATCGGTCTGGAAGCAGCGATGCATAGCCGACGAACCCCCGGGCATCGAGCGGGGCATCCGCGCCCTGCACCGGCGATGCCAAGGAATAAGTTTGGAGCCGACGCCCCCCCAGTAGCACCATAAGAGAAGCGCATCCTGAAGGGAAAAACTGTTTTCGCCCTTCTCGGCGATAGCTCGGATTATCCGGCGGTGTGTGTGGGTGGTTCTCGCCAATACCTAACTTTTCGTTTTCGGCAACCCCGCGTGCGCACACCAGAATGACGTACCCCCTTGGGGCCACCGCAACTGACAAGGTCAAGTTGCCCGTCGGTCGGAAAGAAATGGTTGCGAGCAGATTGCGGACAGATCGGGCTGCCGCCCGCCTCGTGAGGCAGAGGGACATCGGAAAACCGCTCGACCCTTGAAGTGCGAAAGCACTTACAGACAATAACGTGGAATTTGGGTATCCATGAATACGTAGTTTCAACATCCGGCGTGTATTGCGCACCCCTCGGGGCCTGCGCAACGGACAAGGTCAAGCTGTCCAGGAGTGAGGGCGGGGGGGCGGGCGGGCCCCATATAACACAGGGTGATCGCCGGGACCCTTACAAAAACAAGCCTCAACAATGATCCACATGGTGTCGCCGCTTGAAGGCATTTCTTGATTCGCGGCGGCAGCGGGCGTTAAGGGGGAGGGAGGGGGGGCGGGCGGGGGTCATCACAGAACGCTCCCACCCCCCGCCGTGTGGGTCCAACACCAGGCTGTGGTGCCAGACCAGACGCAACGCGGCAGCGTTGGGGACGTACTGGAGAGGGAGAATCGTGAATGTCAGGTTGTGAATCACAAATCCGTGGGGGGGCGCGCGTTTGAAAACATCTTTCCCCTGCTCGGGGAAATCGCGGGGTGGCTCCCGCCAGTTTGAAAATCAACGGCGGCGGCGCCAGTGATTAGCGCCGACGCCCGGCCGCCAGCGAGAAGGCGACAGACAGCACAGACTGGGGGAGGGGGAAGGGGCGGGAGGCAAGGACGAGCCAGGGCGCCCCCTTTTCCAGTCGAACCGATGCGGGCCTGCGGGCAAGGCGGGCTGGACGGAAGGGGGGCGTGGCAAAGTGGAACTTTGCAAAGCAGCTCACGTCGTTGATTTTCCAAGCGCCTCTTGGCGCCGAAGGCGGCCATGCGTCGAGGACTGGCCCCTCGGCGGGGCGACAGAAATGAGCTGCGCGCAGCAGGTTTCGCAACCCTCCATTTCCTTCCCCAGCCTTCTGTCCGAACCGAGCAAGGCGGGCAGTCCTCCCCCCCTCCTCTGTAGCGGTCGTCGTCACCATCGCCGCCGCCGCCGCCGTCGTCGTTGGTTTCCTCGTCGTCGCCCTCGCCGTCGCCTTCGTCGTCGCCGCCGTCCCCCGCCCTGCCTCCGCCCGCCTCCACCGCCCGCTCTCTTCGTCGCCCCAGCCAAGGCTTCTTTCGCCACGGCGGAAACGTGCCCTGAAAAAAAGCGGGCCCTGGGCCCTGGAGGTCGCCCTCGGTCGCCCTCGGCCTCCTCTCTCCTCCTCTCCCCCCCCTGGCGCGCGCGCATGGTTGCAACAAAAAGTATCGCGCCCAGCGGGGTCTACAGGCGGACTCGATTGGACAGGACAGGCGAGAGGACACAAGACCCCTCCGAGAGCCACATTGCCACAGGAATGCAGGAGGCACGGGTCGCGAGACACAGGACACGAGGGTACCCTTGATTTGGCAGGGTCGACCCACTAATCCGGGCCGACTGTATTCATCAGCCCCGGGGGGGGGGCTGCATTTGTTAATCACAAGCTGACAACATGGGGGGGCATAACGCGCGTTATAACCCAGAAGGTAACAGCAACTCCCTCGTTTAGGCCCTCTCTGGGGCCGGTCACGGGGCCGTCAACAAAAAGACGCGCGATGACGTGCTGGCCCTGGAGGAAGCCAGGGCGTCCATGACCCGATCCGAGACCGAAATCAAGATGGCATCGCATCGATCGGGACCGGAGTCTCAGAGAACTGGCGGGTCTGGACGGGTGCACCTCGCGCGGCGCTCCAGCACTCGGGGGCTGCTAAGAGTGCCCCTGGCCTAGGGTGCCCCTGGCCCAGGGTGCCCCCGGCTTCTCGCTCCGCTCTGGAGCCCCTGGGGCCCCCTGGGCCTCGTGAGGGGTGCTCTGGAGGCCGCGGGGGGCCTCCCCAGGAGATCCCGGGGGCGCCCTGGGCCCGGGGGCCCCTCTGGCAGCACCCGACGAGCGCTCCGAGAGCGTGCCCAGCACGGGCTGGGCCGTCTGGCTCCTCTGCCCCAGGCTCGCCTCTGAGGGCCGCTCCCCGAGCCGGGGGGCAGCCCACCGGAGGCAGAGGTGCGAGGCCTGCGACCACCTCCGACGCCGAGGAGACAGCCGTCCGTGCCCCGGGACCGTCAGGCAGAAGCGCGGGGGGCCAGTCCAGGGGAGGGGATCGAGAGCTCCAGGGGTGGGCGACTCGAGAGGATCGAGCCATCGGAGGTCTGGGAGGGTCAGGGCGGGGGTGGGGGAAGAGGCGAAGAGCCAGGAGAGCCCCGCCCTAACGGCAGAGGGCATGGCTAGGCCCACGCGTGGCTGGTTAGCTAGAGGCCTCCCGAACGGGGTCCGAGCGCTGGATGGTTCGGAGTATCGCGCCGTATCGTCCATGCATCGTCGATGCATTGACGACGTCGGCGATGCATCGTCGCCGTCGGCTTGGAGAACCTCGGGTTCCACATCGAGTCGTGTCGCCGATGCATCGGCGATGCAGCGCGACCCTCCGACCCCATCTACCCTGGCACGTTTTGGGAGGTGGCCACAGCGAGCCTCGGCCACGAACATGTTCCCCGACCGAGGTCCGAGGAGCAACCCGAAGAACCGAGCGCATCCCGAAACCAAGGTGGCCCATAAGCTAGCGTGCTGACGGTGGGCCGGCACGTGCTTAATGGGCCCCGGAAATGGCAGGCCCGTTTTTTAGCGTTTCCGAAACAAATGTCTCTTGAAAACGGGAACGGCAACAAAAAACGGCGACCGGAAACAGCAAACAACGGCTCCAGGATTGGAACCAGAGCTGGAACCAATAAAACAACGGCGACGGAGCATATAAAAAACGGCGTCGGAACCGACAAAAAAAGGCAAAGCGGAACTGGTGAAAAAACAGCCGTTGTTTCCAGAGCCCACTAAGCGCAAGTGGTCGATTAGCACTGCGCCCGTCCTTCAACACTTACCTCTCATCTGGTCGGGTGGTGCCAAAGATGTCGCTGGCCCAACGTGTCCGCAAGGTTTCCAAGGAGGCCTCAGCTCGACGAACAAAAGCGGCGTGAACAAAATTCCTTGGAGGTCCGCTCTGATTTCTTTGCACTCGACACGCCTCCCTGGCGCGCGGATCCAAGAAATCAGTGCGAACCCCAGAGAATGTATGTCCATCTTTGAGCAGGGACGGACCGTCCCGGCATTCCTATAGTCCTACCACGAAATGTTCTTAGAACCCAAAAACGTTATCATAACAACATTGATGTTCTTAGAACGGAAACCAGATATGATAAGAGAAGACAGTCTCCGCCAGAAATGTTCGAAAGACATGTCGTGGAAATCACAAGCTGCTCTTAGAACATTGTTTGGTAGGGCCACAGGTGAGCCAGAACGCTTCGCCACTGCTTGAACATTATGTTCATCGTGTTTTTCCGTTTTTCCCCCGGCGGCGGCGGCCGCGGCGCTGGCGCGGGCGGGGGGCGGACCCGCGGGGCTTCGAAGTTTTGAGGCTTCGAGGATCAAGCTTTCTGGATGCCACGACAGTGGACACCCTAACAAACCCATCATTGAACTTATTATCCCAGCGCGACCCTACCTAGGAGTTGGAGCCCCTAGGAAAGCAGCATTAGTAATAACAGTAAAGCTAAGCTAAAGCTAAGCTAAAGCTAAGCTGAAGCTAAGCTAAAGCTAAGCTGAAGCTAAGCTAAGGCTAAGCTAACACTAAGCTAAGGCTAAGCTAAAGCTCAGCTGAAGCTAAGCTGAAGCTAAGCTAAAGCTAAGCTAAAGCTAAGCTAAAGCTGAAGCTAAAGCTAAGCTAAAGCTAAGCTAAAGCTAAGCTAAAGCTAAGCTGAAGCTAAGCTGAAGCTAAGCTGAAGCTAAGCGAAAGCTAAAGCTAAGCTAAGGCTAAGCTAAAGCTAAGCTGAAGCTAAGCTAAAGCTAAGCTGAAGCTGAGCTAAAGCTAAGATAAAGATAAGACAAAGCTAAGATACAGCTACGCTAAAGCTAAGCTGAAGCTAAGCTAAAGCTAAAGCTACAGCTAAAGCTGAGCTAAAGCTAGGATAAAGCTAAGCTAAAGCTAAGCTAAAGCTAAGCTAAAGCTAAGCTAAAGCTAAGCTAAGGCTAAGCTA